CTGGTTTTCTGAGACTTCTTGTTTTTCACAGAACCATCATGAGGTGTAGTTGTTGCATCAGAAGTGGACTGAGACTCTTGTGGAGTCGGATTGGCTGTAACTTCGATATCGGATTCGGATTCACTGGAGTTGTTCTCATCAGGATTTGATGTGGTGGCATTAGTTGAGATTGTTGAGGCAGGAACTTGGATTTGGTTCCTTTTCCCTCTGGGCATTTTGTCGGTAGTCGCGAAGTTGGCAGTCAAGTCGCGACTGGGAGTCACTGGGAGTCTGGGATCTTGATTAGAGATCGTTTGTTCGTACTCGGGTACCTGTTGGTACCTAGGTACCTGTTGAATTTTTTCAAAAAATAGGTACCAAGTACCGCACCAGGCACCTCCTGGCGGGTACTGGCGGTACTTTTGGCGGGTACCACGGGTACCTCCCCTCTCTTTCTAACCTAGGTTCACTTTCAGATTACCAAGTCACTTTTTGATTATTATTTTTTTCATATTTATTGTAAAATATCAGTCCCAAGTCACTTTTTTTCCATTCTTTCATATTTATTGTGAAATGTTGACAACAAATTGGAAGAATCCTACTTTGCTATTATATTTTCATATTTATTGAAAATATAATTTCCAAGTCACTGTTTTTCCTTTTGTCATATTTGTTGTAAGACATCTTAAACTAATTGGAAGAACCTTACTTCATTATTATTATTATTTTCATATTTATTGTAAAATATTACTCAAGTCACTTTTTTGGCATTTTTCTCATATTTGTTGTCAAGTATCTACATCTAATGGGAAGAATCTTGCCTTTTTTCATATTTATTGTAAAACATCAATCCCAAGTCAATTTTTTCATTTGTTCACATTTAATAATTTATTTTAAAGCTTAAACTGTCTACAAATTATATCTAATTATATTATTAGAAGAATCTCCATCGTTGTCCAAAACTATCACCTTCCTTTTTGATTTTTGGTTAGACTTCTTGTTATCCTTGATTCCCTGTTTCCATGTAGCCAAGGTACCTTCTTGGAGTTCTTGGAGTAGAAGGCCACCGTCATTTTGGTAGGGAAGTGAGGGGGTACCTGTAGCGGTACCTAGGTACCTGTTCAATTTTTCACAAAAATAGGTACCAAGTACCGCACCTGGCACCTCCCAACGGGTGCGGGGCGGGTGTGAAGGGTACCCCCCAAGCGGTACTAGGTACCTAGCAAAGGGTACCGCGGAACGATCTCTAATCTTGATTATTGATCTTGCCACCCCAACTCGGACTTGCAGATCTGAGGCAGGTGGTCAGGGGCGGGGCCCGGGGGGGTTTAGAACTTTAGACTCACTCTGAACCCCCCAAATCTAGTACCAAGCCCCCAGGGGCCAGACTCTTACAAGTAAGTGGGTCAATCTCGGGTCGACCCGATTTCAATCCGTCCTGATCATACCCGCCCCGCCGACCTGTCGGGTTGAAACCAGGTCGGGTCAATTTCCAACCCTAGCCTGCTCAAACCCGCCCGGCGGGTCACGGGTACCCGGCGGGTCGACCCGACCCACTTGGATCCTGAACACTATGCGCGCAGGGCGCTGTGGTGGTGAGAGCGCGCTTCGACCAAAGCTTTGGCCTAATTGTTTGGGCATATGCGGAATGCACACGGCTGATGCGGAATGCATGCGGAGCTGACACTACATGCGCAGGCTGAGGAAAGCAGTGGCGCACTAGTAGAAATTCTAGCTTTCCAAGGCCCGGGAAAAGCCGGGAAAGCAGGGAAAAAGTGGGCCAAATGCACAAGGTTCCGGAAAGCTTACTGCGAGGAATCCGGGCACTGGCGGACTTTGGGGATCACAGCCGACTGCAGACCGGGGTTAGTGTATACTACGGAGGGGATACAATAGAGCGGGAGCACCAAAGGGCGGAAGTGGGGTTTGGAGTGGCCAGACCAGAGGCGGAAGCGGCAGTAGGAGACCTGTTCAAATAGCGGCCGGAGTAGTACACTGACTGGCGGGTGTTGGAGGGGTGACACATGGGGTGCAAGGGAGTGACAGTGGAGGACAGCATGGGAAGCAGGAGGGAACATGTGTGTGGGATAGCCGGCAGAGTTTGAGTTCAAAGTGGAAGGGAGAGAGAGGAGGGGGAACTTATGACTCAGAACATATCAGAAAAACAGAGTGACTTAGGAGTGAATCGTGTATTAGCCTAAAGAATGGTTAGAGATAGAAAAGAGTTAGATTAGTACAAACCAAAGCAAGAGAAGAATTAGCTATTTTACCTAACTACAAGACCATCAAGCAAGTTACCCCGGACAACAAACCGGAGTAAGGACGTGTAGTGGAGCGGAGAAGTGCAAGAAATCTCTGAGGGCGCGCCTTACTTTCCACAGCGCCAAAGCTTGTTAGCTTTTAGTGTAGTTTTAGCATGATTCCACACACCTGTACTAACACTACGCGCATGGGGCACAAAAAAGCACCCACTATGCTGCGCTACAGCGCTTTTTAGCGGTTTTTTGGCCTTTTTTACCGCTAAAAGCGCTGTAGCAATGTGCTAACACTACACAGAAAAAAGCCACATGTTAGTGGCGCTAAAGAGTAGCAGTGGTATTGGCGTGCTAACACTACAGAAAAAAGGGGCCCTGTTAGCGCCGCTACCCTAAAGCTAAGTGGCCCTTTAGTGTAGTGTAGCGTAGCAGCCCACCGCTGATCATAACCAACATTTTCTTAGTGATTAGTCAACTGTCACAAGACTCACGTCTGTGACTTTCAGTTTTCCAAACCTGGTCCGCCTCAACAAAAAAAGATTTGAAATCTACACCTGTGCAAGTTCAAATTTGTAATAAAAAGAGTATTGGTGTATTTGCCCCCCCCCCAAGGGGAAAGAGTGTGTCAATATGATTATGGGCAGGGCAGGGTTGGTTTTTGCTGTCCACAACTGTATCACTACACACTCAAGGATATCTGATGACATGCTATAAATGTGTAGACTTTCTTACTGTATAAAAATTCCAGTCTATTAGGGGGGTTCACATAGAGATTGTTCGTTCAGACCTAGGTACCTGTTTATACCTAGGTACCTGTTCATTTTTTCAAGAAAATAGATACCATTTACTACACCAGACACCTCCCGGGGGGTAACCAAGGTACCTGTTGCAGGTACCTCAGGTACCCCCCCTCTCTTTTTCACCTAGTTTCACTCCCAGAGTCCCAAGTCACTTTATTATTATTATTATTATTATTTCATATTTATTGTAAAATATCACTCACAAGTCACTTTTTTGACATTTTTTAATATCTGTTGTAATATATCTACATCTAATTGCAAGAATCTTACTTTTATATTTTTTCATATTTATTGTAAAACATCAGTCCCAATTCATTCTTTTCATTTTTTCATATTTAATAATTTATTGCAAAGTTTAAACTATCTACAACTTATAACTAATTGGAAGAATCTTCATTGTCATCAAAAACCATCACCTTCCTTTCTGATTTTTTGTTAGACTTCTTCTTATCCTTGAGTCCCTGTTTCCATGCAGCCAAGGTACCTTCTTGGATCCTCGAGTTCTTGGAGTAGAAGGCCACCATCATTTTGATTTTTGGTAGGGAAGTGAGGGGGTACCTGTAGAGGTACCTAGGTACCTGTTCAAATTTTCACAAAAATAGGTACCAAGTACCGCACCTGGCACCTCCTGGCGGGTGCGGGGCGGGTGCAAGGGGTACCCCCCAGGAGGTACCAGGTACCTGCAAAAAGTACGGACGAACAATCTCTAGGTTCACAATAGCTTTTTTGGCTTCTGGATTTGTTGCTGGTGTCAACGCTGGGCCAGCTACACTAACGGTAGTGTTAGCCTAGCGTAGTTTAACGCAAATACACTACATTGTAGCATAGTGTTGGCGCAGATTTCTGTATCTGCACTAACGCTACACGTGTGGGCCGCAAAAAAGGGCCCACTACGCTGTGCTACAGCGCATTTTAGCGGTTTTTTGGCTGTTTTTGCTGCTAAAAGCACTGTAGCGCAGCGTAGTGGCACTAACAGAGTGCTAACACTACAGGTTTGGTGTGCTGTTCTGAGGGCCGCTATGCTAATGTTAGTGGGCCGTTTAGCGTAGCGGCCCACCGTTGCTGGTGTGATTTTTTTGTTAAATTTTAAGCTAAAAACATCAGCAAAAACACTGACCAACATCCATAGAGTGTTGCTGGTCCTCAAATGTTGACCATAAAACTTGAATCAACACACCACCAGCATTAATTACAAGTATTGAACTACCACCATTTGTGCACTACACACCAACATTGATGACTGGTATTGATTGGTCATCCACTACTCACTCCCATCAATGGTCATCCACTACTCACTCCCATTGATGACCCATTCTGACCAATCATCAAAGGGAATGCGTACTTGCATCAACAACCAGTCAGAACCGGTCATTGATGGGAGTACACACTTCCATCATGACATGACTGGTCAGAACCGGCTATTGATGGGAGTATGCACACACTCCCATCATGACATGACTGGTCCAAACCGGTCATGGATGGGAGTACACACTCCCCTGATGACCGGTAATTTCATGATGGGGGTGTGTACTCCCATTGGTTTTCTGATTGGTCATCAGGGGAGTGATTGATGAGGGGTATGTTGTTCAAGTGAGGATTACCGGTGTGGGTGGAACAGTCGAGGTGATGTGGAACAAACCGGCAGAAATTTTGTCAAATGATGGGATGTGTTCACCAGTTTGTTTCCATTCCTAAATTTTACTGGTTTATCACTTCTGGTGTGTTAAATATTGTCTAAAATTTTAATCTGCGCAGCATGCAAAACTGTTCTGGTGGGACATAAAGCTATTGTGAACCCCCCTATTATATTCACATAGGGTAAGCTCAGAATATTGAGTGTTTTTGGGAGGGCAAGACTATCATTTTTTATGATCTCATCTTGTAAAGGTGACTTCAAGATAATATCTCCATTGTACTCTCTTTTTGATCCAAGCATGTTTTTGGGATCTCTCTAGCTGTCTTGTCTATGTACAGTGGGTGGACTGAAATTTTTGGCGCGGGGTAATGGGGGTAAAAAATCAGTGACATCCCAGGTGAACCTGGGGTGCACTGACTTGTCACACTTGGGGTGATTGGAGTGATCAACCAGGTCGACCACTCCAATCACCAAACCGAATCAAGCCACATATCGTTTTACCATCTTTTTGCAGCCTCGGGACAGAACGAAAAGTCTTACTGATCATTGTAAGTCCCTTTTTTTTTCTTAAACAAATTCAAACTGACCTTTTTTTCTATTTTGTTGTGTTTTTTTTTCAGATGGTTCGCAACAGAAATGCCAAGCCTCATCTCTCAACGGGAGCAGAAGGGCCAAAATCGTTGGCATGTCGGACGCTGGGGATGACGCCCGACGGCCATTTGGATCTCAGCTTGGGATCGGGCGCACAACAATCTCGGCAATCATCACTCGATCGGCCGAGCGCGGTACTTGTTGTGACGGCCTCCAGAGGCGGACGACCGCGCATGGACCAATGACCGGGACCCTTTGCGAGCTGGAGAAGGTTCTCAACGACAATTCCCCGAATGAAGAATGGCC